GCCAAAAGCATTAAAAAGATAAAAATCACTTCCTAAATCAGGCTGGTTTTTTTTAGCTTGACCACATAATTGTCTCGATTTTTAATATTTACTTATTATCTGTACAGAATCTTGTTGTGGCATTGTAAGAAATGTGAACCTTCTAACTCACATGACCTTTTCCAGTCAGAACTTTTTGTGATTTCAAATTATAGTACAGTCTATGTTACTTTAATTCTGGCAAAAAATACTGTATAACAATTAAAATATATAAATGTAATACTAAATTGTATTCCTAATATATGTAATTCAAATGTAGTTGTTAAAATTCATACAAACACCTTTATATATTGCTGTTGTCACTGCTTGTGTGGTCCAGGTACAACCTCTACTCAGTGTAGGAATCTACTACTACATCATTAACTGCAGTCTTTACTGAAGGAGACCACTTCACTAAAGTCTCCACTTTCAGGGGCAGCTCTTACCATTAGGAAAATTTTCTGAGTACAATCCTAATTGACATTCCTGTAACTTAAACTATCATTGTTCTTTATTCTGGAGCAATTCAGAACAATTTTGCCCCATCTTCTATGGAACAGTTCTTCAGATACTTGAAGGCAGCTATCTCTTCATTGTTCTCTCTTCTGGGCTAAACATACCCAGCTATCACATAATTCTTCAAGTTTTCATTCTAAGCTTCTTATCATTCTTCTCTAGATAGGTCCTAATTTGTAAACATCCTTCCTAAAGTGTGATGCCCTGTAGGTGATATTCCAGGCATGATCTCAGCAGTGCAGAATAGAGGAACAATTACTTATCTTGTAGGCCTACATTTGCTCCTTTCTTTCTTATTTTCTGCCTGCCAGCCTGTCTGCCTGTATCGCTTTGTAGGTTCAGATTCATCTTATATTACACAAAGATACCTAAAACCTTTTTTAATGTGCTGGTTTCCTCCATCCTATTTTTTCCCCTACCCCAGTTAAGGATTTTGTATTTGTCCGGTTGAAATTTGATGTTTCTGACACTTGCTCTAACCTTTCAAGATCTCTTTGAATCCTGTGAATTGCAGGTCTTAGTGTTTTATAAGTTCCTGGAAAAATCAGGGTTTCTTTTGTGAATGAGTCAAATGAGATCCCATTTCCTTCTTGTTTTTCCCCACCAAACACATTTGTGGAAGGTAATGAAAGGTTAGTTGCTTCCATCCAATAGTGCCAGATTCAGTAGATCACAGAATTAGATTTCTGATCTCTTATGTTGCCTTCCATGCCATTGTTTATAAACAAGGTTGCTATCACTCACTTCTCACCAAACCAAATAATTTCAGGAAGATATACTAACTGTAAATATTTGAAAGAAATAAAACAGGGTTTTATCTATCAGTTAACAGGATTTTCTCTGACATTATTTTTTCTTTGTTTGGTATTTGGCCCTACTATTTAATACTCTATGTTTTATGTAATATTTATTTGAATAATTTTGTATGCTAAGATAATTTACTGTTTTGGAAGATAAATTATGCAGTGATTTGGATGTTATTGTTACAAATAATAGCTTTTGTGTTATGTCAGTATAGAAGAGATTAAGGCTGTAATATTTTACCTGAGAGTAAATGTTACCGAATTAAGTCATATTTATTTCTAAGCAGGCATGCATCAATTATAATATAATGTGACTTTATGGTTCAATTGAGCTTGAGACAATCTGTGTGAACTATTCATAGGTATGGGAAATTTAGTATAGGAGGATGAAGAAGACCCATAGCGTATAGATGAAATAATTAGCAAATTCCATTGGTGTATGCAGACTGAATAAAGACAAAATTGGGTCATTAAGAAACCATAGGATGGTATCAGCATTCTTGGAGAACTCTTAGTGGTGCTCAGAGTCATTATAACAGATAGTTTAATTGCATGGAGAGTACTGACATTGCATAAGAGGCAGTTTCAAGCAGAGGCATCCCAACAAGCTGTTTTTTTTATCAGATTCCTAAGAGAATTGTTAGTGCTTTGGTTTTCCTACACATGCAAAAACAGATTTCTGCTTCCTCTGTCTACTTCTAAAACAAACCTATTTCCTGTTATTGTAGATATATACATTCCTCTTATTCTGATTTGGAGGATAAATAAAATTGAGTTATATTCATCAGCTCCATTGCAAATATATTGCAATACCCCTCTATGCAATATGTTTAATCTGGTTGCAATTGTACATATTTGTATAATTTACTGTACTGTAAACTAACAAAATAAGTTGAGTTCATACAATATGTTCAGCCACAAAAATCCTAAAAGTAACAATAATCCTAACTAAGATTAATAAGTAGCTTCAGCATGGAGATTCACTAGATTTTTAACTGACTAATTAACTGGTTAACTGTGGTTTATGGACACAGTCTCTTATACTGAATATTAGCTGAATATTAAGACGTATGCTTCAGGTCACTTATAACTCAGTTTATAATTTGAGAGGCCCTCCTACCATTTCCTCTGGTACTCACTGCACTGCTACAATTGCTGCTGCTACTAATACTAATCCTACTACGTTACAGTGAATTGTATCTGTACAGAACAGATGAGCAATGTTTTATGTGGCACCTTCTCCATCCAAATATTGGGAGAAAAAAAGCTAAACAACAAGAAACTGTAAGCAATTTTCACAAATCTTTGCAGGTAAAATTGATCATATTCATCTCAGGTTTGACAACAATGCTAGACTGGTTATTTGCACCTCATTTAAGACAGACTTTTCCCAGAATGTGATACTGAGACTGATTTAGTTGTTTGTATTATGCCACAAACTAGATAGTTGTTTTGATAGAAATTACCAAGAGGACTTTCTGGACTAGTTGACGCAATTGAGGTTTGGGTGCCCTATTTTGCAGTAGTTTTGATTCTTCCAGTCAGAACATGTCGTGAAAGTGTTGCTGGAATACTTCTGATTGACTCTAGGTCAATATGCTAGTGATATCCAACTCTGCTGCTCCTTGTTGCCCAACTTCAAGGAAGCAATCACCATTCTCCTGATTATATGAGTCTTTGTCAATATCATGTCTGGTAAAACCTTTCCCACAATATTTAACTGCATGAGTTGGAAAACTTGTTTTGCTTTTGCCTAATTTCCTTTTATTGTAATGCTAAAATATCTCATTCAATTGTATCCGAAGCCAGTTTGGTGTAGTGGTTAGGACAGCAGGCTAGAACTGTGGGAGACCAAGAATTCTTGTCCTGCCTTAAGCATGAAGTCAACTGGGTGACCTTGGGCCAGTTACTACCTCAGTTTTAGGAAGCATGCAACAGCAAGCCACTTCTGGAATCTTGTCAAGAGAACTGTAAGGACTTGTTCAGGCAGTTGCGAGGAGTCGATACTGACTCAAAGGCATGCATGCGCGCATACTTTTATCGAATGACTTGGGTGAAAATATAAGGAAAGCTGTGCTAGAACAAGAGAAACATTCATCTTCCCTAGCATCTTAGCTTGCAAGAGTTGCTCAGAAGCTTTTAGGAAGCCAGCACTGTTTTTGAACATTCTGTGATTCATTTCATTTCAAATGGAGATTCATGCAGCTCCATGGTTAATATGCTCTGGCAATTTTATTAAGGCAGTGAAATCACCAGATAGGAAATTCTACAAATGGAGCACTTTTTTGTTTTGAATGACTTGAACCTAGTTCTAATCAATTTCATTGTACTAACCTTGAATACTAATATTCTGGTAGTAAGAGAGGAGAGTTTGTGTGGGGGCAGGGGTGGGATTCTACCAGTTTGCACCTATTCGCTAGAACCAGTTGTTAACATTCTAAGCAGTTCAGAGAACTGGTTGTTAGAAGAAATTACTGGCCTAATCCTGTAAGGAAGGCAGGAAGGAAACATTCTGGTGTTGCTTACAGAAACTGCATCTCCATTAACCCTTATTACATTCTTGGCAGGACTAGACTTCCTGTCTCAGGAACGTCTCTAGAGTTTTTTTCCCTTCCTTTGCTGGTACTTTGCTTGTGTGGAGTGACCATTCAAATGGCACTGAAAAAAATGACTTATGACCCTTTTTCACACTTACAACTGTTGCAGCATCCCCACAGTCATCAGAGGCCAGGCGAGGAGATGCGTGCCTCGATATGAGTGATATTGAGTTGGCCACACCCAGCCAATAACATGACCACCAAGCCATGACCACCACCTAAGCCACGCCCACAGAACCGGTTGTTAAAAATTTTGAATCCCACCCCTGTGTGGGGATATGGGGTTGGGGGCTTCAAGTCCTGGCAGTTGTTTAGAGTAGCCCCTGCAGTTTTCTTGGTGTGATTTCAGAAGTGGTTTGACATTGGCTTTTACTTAGAATTGAGAGGCCCCTGGTCAGTCCATTTTCTCTATCCTCGGAATAATCCTATAATTATTTCTGTGTTAATGTTATTGTAATTCTAAACTAAAGCTTATATTCTCCACCTTCACCTCTTTTTCCCTGCTAGTCACAAGAAAGGGATCAGTGTTCTTCAGTTCCATTTTAAGCTAACTGTACAGCAATTTGTTATACTCACACATAGATCTGTGCTTAATATTAACTATGGTTTAGGAAAACAAGGTAGCTTAGAAATCACAATTTGAACTTGGAAATGTTTCCCTAACCTTTTCGTCCTGTTGAAACTTGAATGATTCTGATTAAAGCCTGTTGAGAACTGCATTTCAGAATCATAGGTACAGCCAGGAGTGAAAGTGGCTAAAGCAAATCTAAAAATGAAATGGAGGAAATTTGCAAAGTATACAAAATTTGACAGTTTGCCTGAAAATAAATTAAGATTACATCTTGGAGCTCAAGTTTATTTATTTTTATTTGTCAAGCAATTATAAGATAACAGGTATAAATATAAACATAGTTATGAATACATGAAATGGATACGAATAAGAAAAAAAAAAGAAACAATGGGACAGGGACAGTAGGCATGTTGGTGTGCTTATGCATGCCCCCTACAGATCTCTTAGGAAAGGGGTGAGGTCAATAGTAGACAGTCTAAGGTTAAAAAGGCTCCCCTTTTAAGCCATAGTTAAGACAAACTGCAGTTTGAGTTTGGGCATAGGCATAATACTTTTCCAAGCAATTGTGGTTGTGTGAAAGGACATAAGATAACTTCCAAGCTAGCAATTCATTCACATAACTTCAAATCCTGGGAGGTGGGCAGAAATTGCTGTAATAGCTGGAACATTTTGATTGCTTTATTCTCAGTTCTGAAATACACTTTCATTTTCCATTTTATTCTGCTCTGCTCTTCTCTTTTTTTCTTTTCTTTTTCATATATTACTTTTTTTATACCAGTTCTTGTTTTAAAATCCCAACCATAACAGAATTAAGCCAATCCACAATCATTAAGAAATCATTAGGGAAGACCAAGACATTCTGAACAAGTTTTTTAAAGGGTCCTAAAGTATATCATGCTTGTCATATCACAGAGCATAATGATATTGTACTTCCTGATTCCACCCACCCCCCCACATCATTACTCCCCTCATCTACTTTTCAACATCTTCAACACAAAACTCCCTCCACTGTAAACTTGGAAGGAGTGTGAGAAAGACTGTAATTCTAATCCAAGAATTCACAACAAACCCAGAAATAACAGGAATCCCATGGTACATGTATTAAGAACTATTTGTTTAAAATAACTTTTTTGCAATAATACAAGTTTAGGTGCTCTTCTTGCAGCGAGGGTGGTAGTTCATAGAGAAAGAGAAGGGGAAGGACATGCCTGACATCAGCTCCCCTCCCTTCTCCAGAACGAGAAACTCACAGATTGGAAAAGAGAACCCGATCAGGCAATCGTGCCAAGATTTTAGCCCTCCTCCTGGCACTTTTTTATATACATATTCAGGAGCCACTCAAGCAGCTGCAGCATATTAGTTCCAGTAGTTTTGACAGGCGCTGCCACAGGACGGCGACTCGGTGCATTGTCCCTTCGCTCTGTGTTCACTTACCTAGCCAGCAAGAGCGAAGGCTGTTTGGCAGCATGGGCTTGTCATGGAGAAGCAATGCCTAATAGGTTCGGTGGAGGAGTTTGCTTGTTTTTCTTCTTCCCTTCCTCTTCTTTGCAATTCAATATTGAAAGCAGGCAGCACCATGTTACAGGCTGAACAGTCTGAATCAGAGGTGCAGCTTGGCACAGTTCCTGAAGACTGAATGAGCAAAGGATTTTTTTTCCCCTTTCCAAAGCAGACAAAACAAATATCATATTGCATTTGTAGAGATTTCGTTAATATAAGTTGCTTTGGAAACATGGCTCAGCAAACAACAAGCCCAGACACCTTGATTGTACCTGAAGTTGACAATACACACTGTCAAAATCCATGGCTTAACGAGGATCTTGTGAAGACCCTGAGGGAAAACCTGTTGCAGCATGAAAAGCTCAAGATATCCCAGAAATCTTCATCAATTTCGCCGAAGTTGTCACCCATCATTTCTCCCAGAAATTCGCCAAGGCTGTTGCGCAGGATGCTTTTGAGTAGCAACATACCAAAACAGCGCCGGTTCACTGTGGCACATACCTGGTAAGACCTGAATTGTACCCTCCCTCCTTCTCCTCACCCTTTCCGATTTTTTTGGAGTAATGTTGCAGTTTTGTAATCCAAGATTCCTAACTCTTTCTCTCAAACTCTTGAAGATAAAGACCAGATCTGACACCCTTAATAGTAGCAATAGCGATTAGACATGAAATCTTGTTCCATTACAATCAATCTACTTCTGATATTAAATTGACTGAAGCGAATGCTGCTCCAGGAAACAGGAAGGAAAAGCAGTAGGGCTGCCAAAGCTGCATTTACTTTTTTGTCGCTTTCAAAGGACACTTTGTTCCCTTTGTCAGCTTTCTGGAAGATTTAATTCATGTGAAGAGCATGAAAAAAAAAGAATATTTATCTGACTTACTCTTAAATGATGAAATAATAACATCTTTCTCTTCCCCTCTACCGTGTTAGGTGGGCATAGAGAAACAGTGTCTCATATTGCAATTGCAAAACCTCTTAAAGAGGATATTATTAGATCTGCCTCTCCATCAAATATAGATGGAGGAAGAGATGTAGAGCAAACATGAATTCCAGGCAGCTTGTTTTCAGATAACTGCTATGAAAATGAGGGGGGAAACCCTGCTTTTTTCAATAGAAAAATCTGTTAACTGCATTGTAATCATGAACTGGGCAGAATCAGTGTGATTCTTATGTATAGATGTATTTATCAGTTGTTGAACTGACTGCCAGATTATTGCATTTATTTCTTTTCTAGTAAAATCTATTCTGAGGGGTCCTTGGTGGTCTCTCAGTTTGCTTGTTTTCTTGGAGACATTTCATTATCCAAACTAGGTAACATCATCAGTGCTAGTAAAGAGTGTTGTTTGCTGTCAGTTTATATTCTGGTATCTTGCCCTGTCAGTGTTGGTGGAGGTAGTCTTAGAGGTTCTTTGGTTGGGCTGTTTGCTTCTTTGGCAGTTTCTTGATTTGGGTATTGTTTATTTGATTGTTGGTCTGATGTTAATCTTAGAGTTAACCTGTGTTTATTTGGGTGTTGATTGCTAAGGAAATCTATTCTTTAGCTATAACTCTCAGAATCACTTATTGGCTTCTCTAACGAGGGTTTTGATAGCTTTTTATAATTTTGCATGCTTTGAATTTTGTTGGCTGGGTTGTTTTCTGGAGCAACTAAAAGAAACGTGAAGCTGAAAGCGGCATTGCAATGGGAATGGAATAATCGCTGTATGCTCTTTACAGAACATTACTTTTTCACGTTAATATTCATGCCATTAAAGTGAGGAAGAATGCTTTAGTCCACAGCAGGTGTGACCAATAGACTGCTTGTGTCCCCCTCTTGTTTTTGCAGTCCTTTACAACTCTCAACTGTGTGCCTAGAATGTGTGACACATTTGCAGCCTTTTTCAGTGTTACATTTGTTGGGATCTTCTAAAAGAAAACAATGCCTAAAGAGGTGTGTTGAGTCTTTGATAATTTCAGTGCTCCCAAAGTCCACAAAAATGAAAAAAAAAAAAACTATAAAATTTGATCCATCCTTTCAAGTAATTGTCGCATATCACCACCATCTGGTCCTAAAAAGAGATCAAAAGACAAAACTCTTCAGTCATGGCTAAAAAAGGTTGGTTTCCAATAGATTACATACTGTCACCCAAGCCATGATTTTACCCTAGTTTGTTAAACAAGCCACAAATTATTGGTTTGCACAGGATGTTGACAAACAACCTTGGCTTACAAAGTACAATAGATGGATTCCTGCAACACACCAAACTTAAATCATACAAAGTACACTATGGTTTAGCATGAATGGGGAGCTGGGGATGCAGGTTGCCTTTCCTTGCTATAAGGAATAACAAAAGCCAATGCCTCCTTAAGACACTCAGTATGTGTTGAGACTAAACAAATCTCTGTTGAGAAGTGTTTCAATTTATGAAACTAGAATTCCTTGTCTACTGTTGAATTCTAATTGGGCATGATTGCAAAATATATGAATTATATTTCTTTGTTGTCACACCTTTTCCAATCATTTTCCAAGTACGAATTAGGATACTTCTTATTTCATCTTTTTCATACCCTGGCAATAATTCTATTTCTTTCTCTCTCTTTCTGATAAGGCATGGAAATTGAGACTATTGGTAACTAAAAAAATGGAATTCAATATGAAGGGATTGGGTGTTTCCTTTGGGGCTAGAATTACTAGCAGAATCACTGATGGGAATTGAAGTATGTTTCATCTGGAAAACATTAGATTTGGGAAAGTTACCGTAGATCAGTGATGGCTAACCTTTTCGGCACTGAGTACCCAAAGCACACATGCATGAGTGCATTCCCAAACTACAACATGTATGCATGCATGTGCCCTCCCCCACAAATGCATGTACAGCACCATGCATTCACACACATCCCAATGCATGCATGCATGCCCCCATGTATATACGTGCATCCCCGCCATGCGCCCCACCACCAGTGCATACACATGCATTCCCGTGCAGGGACATGTCTCCCCGTGCATGCACCCCACCCCCTGTGCATGTGCCCAACCCCAACACATGCGCAGCAGAGACCCAAAGACCAGCTGGCTCATGGGAGGCATGTGCACACATGCACGGCAGAACTGAGCTGGGGCGACAGCTTGCATGCCCACCGAGAGGGTTCTGCACGCCACCTGTGGCATTTATGCATATCATGGCCCTAGATTGTTCTTCCATTTGATGAGAAATGCCTAAACCATCATTCTTTGCCCATGGCACTGTTTTTCATTTTCATTTTCATTAGATACTTTTGATTTTTTCCCTCTTTCTCAGGAGTAGCCTTCTCTATTCTGGTGTTCTCTAGATGTGCTGGAATTACATCTGAGAATTCCCAGCTGTGCAGCAGGGGGAATATTTTTGGTCCTAAAGCATTTGAAGGAAACTCAGCTAGAGGAAGGCTGTTTAGACATTCTTGACTATATTACTCATCTATAAAAAGAGGAAAACAATCCCAAGACTGTTTTCTGAAAAAAAATTACAGTTGTAGAGCTGTTGCTTATGGGCTTCCATTTTCTGTGGGTTTCTATTTCCTAAATGCTCCATTTTTTTGCATTCTGTATGGCTGTCTAATGATGAAAGTTAATTGATTTTCAAATACAACTTATGATGTATTAGGGAGAAAGATGATATTCTAATATTGTCCAATGTTCCTGTAGATGAATTATGTTTTTTTATTATAACGACATTATAAATGTGACTATATGACATTCAGTGGCTTCCCAATGAAATATATCTATCACAATCACAAGGGTTGTTAATCTATAGGAACCAACCACATTGGATAACACACCTACAGTATGCAAATTCAATATGGTCTGGAATCTTTTCTTGGAAGAATGTTTTTTTGCTATATGAAATACTGGGCTCTGTTTTCTGAACCTTCCTTCTCTTTCTTTCTCTTTCTCTCACATGCTCAACCATTGTTTAAAAGATGTCGGGGAAAAGATGATACAAATTTCTAATATATTGCAATTAATACCATCAGTGTAGTTGATCTCTGAATCTGAAGGAAACATGTATATCTGAAAATGAATGGTAACATTAATAAAACTTGGTTATTATTTTGTTATTTTAAGATTGAAAAAAATACCCAGATGGTTACATTAAAACAAATAGCTGTTCTTAAAAGTCTTTTCAACACAGGACCACATTTTCCAAGGTGCTTTGACTACTGATGTTGTAGGTGTTACTAATGAGTCACAGACTATGTGTGCGAATTTTTCATCACAGGGTTTGCATTTAGTTAGGATGTTAGGTATACAGAATATTTTGAAGGATTTTACCTTAAGCCACAATGCTGCAAGCTTTTTTGGAATATAGGTTAAAAAAAAGCTTTTAATTGTTTATTTGGAAGTGTTTGCCTCCTTTAGGTTTATAATGGATCTTATTTTATATACCTGTAAATCTTGGAGACTTCCTTATCAATATTTCCTGTATTTGAATGTTTTTTTTAAAAAAAAATCCAGACAAAGACCTATTTTTGGAGCTCAAATTCACCCTTGAATGAATCAGAGGTAGCCAATTTGTTGTCCATAGTCTTTATTAATATCTATTAATACCAGAATATGCAGAGAATTCTATCCCTTCCCTGCAGCAAGAAGAAGGTTTCAGGAAAAAAAACCCGAGAGGGATAGTATAAATTTGGATGTCACAGTAAAAGGAATATCACTGACAAAGAAAATTGGGGAGCTCTAGTCAGTTTGATCTTTGGGCTAGGTTCAGTCTCTTCCAAAAACCTTGCCAGGAAAACTGCAGGGAGTTGTCCAGGTCAGGGGTCTCCAACCTTGGTAACTTTAAGCCTGGTGGACTTCAACTCCCAGAATCCCCCAGCCAGCTTTGCTGGCTGGGGAATTCTGGGAGTTGAAGTCCACCAGGCTTAAAGTTGCCAAGGTTGGAGACCCCTGGTCCAGGTGATTTCTAGAATCAGACACACAAATTGGTTCTCATTGCAGCATTAGTTAAAGTCAATCTCATATTAAGTGTATATGTACTTTCTTCCCTTGATAACCTCTCTGTAAACTAATCATCTTTGGTGAAAGCTAATGTGATACAGATAATGTGATAATGATTATTCCACAAGCATTTTTGATAGTAGGTAGTGATTTCAATACCAGAATAGGGCAAGTGATGTCAAGCCATCTCTCAAACTAAAGCATTATTCTCCTAATTTAGAAGAATCTCTTCCTTTCATAGTCAGCAATTCTAAAGACATAAAATATAATTATGCTAGACTGTGCTTTGTACAGACATCCAGCAGACTGGATCTGATTATTTTAAATTGATCCACTAATAGGAATTATCTAGGAAAATTCAGTTTGGGGCAAATGAATTTATGAGTTCTACAGATTAGGTCGCTAATGCCCATAATATTTTGTAATTTATGCAATTCTAGTTTTAGAACTGAAAGTAGATTAGATAGTGATTATTTTACACCACCTCTAATGCTCTTTCCAGATGGGTGGAATTTATTGCTATCGGTGTCTTTCAAATTGCAGCATA